TCTAACATAACTTGGGAGTTTTCTTTGGGGTTCTCTCTCCTGGAGCTGTGTCAGGGCTAGGATTTACCCCAATTCTGGGATGTTTTGGGGGCTACCCCCCTAGAAGGGCGCTCGGGGTGGCTCCGGGGGGGGGCTCCCGGGGCTGTCAGGGTGTGGGGGGGCCCCGCGGGGGGGCACCTCGATCAGCCGGGGTTTGTCAATGACGCGGGCGCCGCGGGGCCCCTTCTCCACCACCCCCACGATCCAGGCCTGCAGCCCCTCAGCGCGGCCCGGTGCCTTCAGCTCAGCGCAGAACCGTGCAGCTTGGGCCCGGGGCAGCACCACCAGCAGCCCTCCTGCGGGAGCAGGGGGTTAGGGGTGCCCCACAACCAGGGAAAATGGGGATTGAGGGGGAATTCCCACCCAAAATGTAGAGTTTGGGGGATCCCTCCCACCATTTTTGGGGATCCCTTCCTCCAGTTTTGGGGATCACTCTGGTTTTTGGGTCATTCCCCCACATTTCCCCCTCCCCTTTCCCGGTTTTGGGCTTTGTCTCCCCGCTTTTACTGTCCTACCACAGCTGGACCTCTGTGCCCACATTCCGCCCCCTCATCAGAGCCCTCCCATTTTTGGGGTCTCTTATCTTGGCTTTGGGCTCTCTTATCCTACTTTTAGAACCCCAATCCCATTTTTGGGGCTCCTTATCCCATTTTTGCAGTCTCTTACACTGTTTTTGGTGTCTCTTATCCTGTTTCCAGGTTCCTGCCACTGCTCACACTGTCCCCTGGCCAGGCTGACCCAATACCCCCTCCACTGATCCCTCCCCATGTCTGGGTTCCCCAATTCTGTTTTTGCAGTTCCCATCCGGTTTCTGGGGTCCCCAGCACATTTCTAGGATCCATCCCCTCATTTTCTAGCTTCCCTTCCCCGTTTCTGAGGCCCCCCCGCCCCCGTTTTTGGGCTGTTTCTCTCCATTCCCAGGATCCTACCATCATGCACAGCACCCGCTGCTGGCCAGGATGACCCAGTGCCCCCTCACATCGACCCTCACCATTTTCGGACTCCCCAATCCCATTTCCAGAGCCCCTTTTCCTATTTCCAGGCTCCCCAATGCCATTTCTGAGCTCCCCTTGGCCGTACCTGAGGTCTCGGGGGCGGTGCCCTGCAGCAGCCCCCCACGGCCCCCGCAGGCCTTGCTGACGGCGGCCATCTTGGCAATGACGGGCAGGTTGTGGATGACGAAGGCCACGTCGAGACGCTGCTGCGCCGCCAGCGCGCGGGCGTGGCCCAGCACCCCAAACCCCGTCACGTCGGTGGCCGCGTGCGCCCCAAACGCCCGCATCAGCCCTGCCGCTGCGGGGGACGCAGCTGTCACGTCACACGGACTCTACACGGCGTGGGGATAGCCGAGGGTGGCTTTGGGGATGCCCTTTCAGGGACACCCTAGGACGGCTCTGGGGACGTTTGGGGCAGCTTTAGGGACTCCCTTGGTGGCTTTAGGGATATCCAGCATGGTCTAGGGACACCCTGGAGTGACTCTGGAGACATCTGGAGAGGCTTTGGGGACATGTGGGGTGGGCTAGCGACACCCTAGGGGGGTTTGGAAGACATCTCCAGTAGCTTTAGGGGTTCCTCTGGTGGCTTTGGGCTTCCCTTGGGGTGGCTCTGGGGACATCTGGAGTGGCTTTAGGGACACCCCGACTGCTTTGTGGTCTGTGGACACCCTCAAATGACTGGGGACACTCATGGTGGCTTTGGGATCCCCTGGGCACATCTGGGTTGGTTTTGGAGACCCACAGGGTGGCTTTTGTCTCCAGTGTCACCCACCGGTGCGGTTGAGCGTGGCCATGCTGGACACAGCCTCCTGATAGGCCAACTCCACCTCCTCCCTCGTCACCACCAGCTTGATCTTGTTCCAGCGCTCGGGCTGTGGAGACAGGGAGGGGAAAGCGTCAGGGACCCCTGCAGTGGCCTTGGGGACACATCTATGGTGCTCAAGGGTCCCTTTGGGGACATTGGGGGAGGCTTAAGGACTCCCAGGGTGAAGCTCCATCCCTCTAGGACATCAGGATTTGGGATCCCACTGGGGACATCTCAGGTGGTTTTTAGTCCCATTTTGGTTCCTCTTGAAGGATACCTGGGCATCTCCAGACCTGTCTCAGGTGTCCTTGGGGATACAGGGCTGGCTCTGGGCTCCCCATGATGTCCCCTGTCCCTTCTGGCCCTTCCCAGGTCCCCTCAGTGTCACTCACGATGTCCAGCCACTGGTGTGCGGTGACAGCCATGTGTGTCCCCAAGGGTTTGGTCAGCACCAGGACATCCCCGGGCACGGCACTGTCCGGCCTGGGCAGGGCTGGGGTCAGCATGGGACACGCCCTGTCCCCAAGCC